AAAGTATCTTTCCATTTGAAATCATGGGAAAGACATCACCCATAGTATGGTATATTGTTTAGTCAAAATTAGTCTTTGGTAAAACTAAAATCTGACTTTTTATTTTTTGCATCCACACAGTGAAACAGCTACACATATGGGCCACTTAACGTATTTTTTGTGTTCTAGACTATTAGTAATAAATCTCTGTACTTATTCTTAAAACTCCCATAGATCACACTGTTACGTAAACACCCCTTACAACTTTAGAAAGAGAAAAAAAAAGTAAAAGGGAAAAAAATATTTATTTTGCAATGAAATGTATCTAATTAGACATATAGTTTTATTAAATTGATCTGTGTACAATTTACTTTGACACAACTTTTAGCAATTTCTTTATACTTTAAGTATACATTTATTTGCTGTACATATTTAAAATAGTTCGTCTGAAGAAAACCTTCTATGCAAATATACATATATATATAATTTAGCATATAAAGTATTTTTTAAGGTATAAAAGTATTGTTTCTTTATTAAATTATTGATCCGGCATGCTTTTATATGAAAGCCCCGTAGCGTTTAACAAATATTTTAAAGGAATTGTTCTTCAGACAACTTGTATCTTTGGCTGAGGTAAGTACATTATTTAGGAAGCAGTCTTAGCTAATTTTTGAGGGATATCTGATGTATTTTCCGTGACTTTCTATTTAGTGCTAGAAGGAATGCCCCGTAGTACTAGCAGGAATTGAACAATCTTTTAAATTATTCATAAATTCTTCCAGAACATAAGTTAGCACAGATGAAAAGTGACTTGTGGTTTTCACGCTAGCAAAAGCTCTTTTTATCACAAGAATATTTTTATAACCATTAGCCAGTAGTCTGGCTAAGTAATAGAGTATACCAGGAATGTAAAATCAATAATAACCAATACTTTCCCAAAGACAGGCATTTTTTTCTTTATTTTTGTTTTCCTCAAGATTATACTGTACTGGAAAAATCCATTAGTAAAAATTAAATGTGTTTTATGTCAAATTATTTATAGCAGCGTTGTAAATAAATATTCATCGTAAATGATTTCAGACCTAATGAATAATGACAACTCTTGGGTCAAAATTTAGTGTAAATGAAACCCGTGAATTGAAAAGTGTTTCTTTAGAGTATATTGATAATAAGATTAGATCAAATAAGAGTATATTAATAATAAGATTAGATCAAATAAGATTATATGTAAAAACTAGTATAGATGGTAAAGATAAATGCACACGTCTACATTTTAAATTTATATTAACAAAAAACTTTTTCTGGGCCTCCCTAGTGGTTCAAGGGGTTAAATCTCAGCATGATGAAGCTGTCCACAGCCCCTGAAACATGCGTTCAATCCCAGGCCAGGGAGCTGACCCACATGGCACAGCAGATCTCCCCTGTCTCACCCACAGCTCCCCTCAGCAGTGTATTTCAGTAGATCTGCCTGTTCTGTTCCGTACTCTGTCTCTGGTCAATCCTCTCACCCACATATCTCTGGCCTGTACCAGCTTCTTGTATGCATAAATATATAATCCCCCTCTCCCCAAAACCCAACATGCTTGTGCGGTTTAAATGTTAGTAATTACTGCTCAGACTTCTTTTCATTGCAATGGTGGCACGTGTGTTTTCTTCTGGGAATTTCTGTTACTGTATTTTTAGGTTTTTTGTTATGTAGTATCTAATCTGCTGTTAATTCCATCCAGTTTCTTTTTCTCAGACATTGTAGATTTTATTTCTCTTTAAGTTTCAATTGTCATTTTTATTAAAGCTTGTGTATCTCCACTTAACTTTTTAAATATAAAGAATACAGCTATAAGGAACACCTTTTGATGCTCTTATTTGCTATTTCTAACATCTGGGGCTCTGTAGGTTAACTGATTAATCTTTTTATCTTGAGCCATATTTTCCTTTTTGTTTGTAAACCCAGCCATTTTTTTTTTTGCTCAGACTAGACACAGTGCTGTTTACTGTGTTGGGTGCTAGATAGTTTTGTTTTCCTATATATATTCTTGGGCTTTGTTCTGATACATCATTAAGTTCCTGAGAACTAGGTCCCCTCCCCCCGTTTGGCTCTTGGCATTAGTTTTGTTAGCTGTGCCTAGAGAAGTAGCAGTCCATAGTGAATTTTCCCTCCTAAAGAAGCTAATCATTTTTTTTCTACATATAGGCACCACTGGGTCATTCAATAAAAGACAGCATCATATCACCTTAAGTGTAAATATTGCTTTTGTAGCCTTTAGAGCTTGAAATCTTGGCAGATTTAACTGCCAAGTTTTATAGTATGTTTGTTAACATATACCTGTGTCTTCTCTCTTTTTTTTAAAAAAAAAAATAATATCTCAAACAGGTATGTAAGATAGTCTTTATTGCTATGGATGAAGCTGGAAGGAATCATGCTAAGTGAAATAAGCCAGAAAGAAAAGGAAAAATAACAGATGGTTTCACTCATAGCAGGAATATAAAGGACAAGGGTAGAAAATAGTAATAATGAACAACTATATACCAGAGACATTTTTTTTTT